AGGATGGGTAGCAGCGTGTGACACCCATCAGCGTTAGCTGTCCGTGCACAAACCATCGGTAAATATTTGGTGTTCAGAGTCAGCTTTGTGGCAGGAGGTTATGTTGTTCTTTATTGCCCCCTCCTCTCCCGCAGCCTGCAGACCGCGTGCTGGCGATTGGATCCAGCATCACCATTTTCATCTCCTTGTCTGTACTAGACGTCGCTTCTAGGGTGTCACTACCTCTGTTTTTTAAAAAGCCCCGGCTTTCTGGCAGAAGGAGGCTCTGGGCCCACCTGTTTGCATCCTCTCGTGGGCTGCTGTGAAACTTCCCTGGTGTTTGCTGAACCCACTGGCCACCCAGAGATGGGCTCCAGGAGAGCAGGAGCAATTTCACAGCCAATGCTCTGAGCGGTTTGAGACCCCACCTGGGAATTGCTTGCTCTTGTTCCCCTCCAAGACAGCATACAGGAAATCATCTTGTGAATTCCTTTTTTTTTTTTTTTTGCCCCACGCATTTCGCCCACGGATCTCCAAGTAGCTCTCTGATGCAAGCACTTGTACTCCTCTTATGACATTCAGTGAGTAACACCAGCTCACTGTATCACATGCCCATCGCGATCTTTCACCTAGTCACTCACCCAATTCCTCTTTGTTTCAGCAGAAAATTGCATTAGAACCCTCAAACAGTGAAATCCTTGCATCTTTCTCTGATGCCAGCTAGGAAGTCTCTTTTACAGTGACAACGAAAGTAAAAAGTCTTTAGGACGAGAGGAAATGGGCTTAAGCTGCGCCAGGGGAGGTTTAGGTTGGAAATTAGGAAAAATTTCTTTACGGAAAGGGTGGTCAAGAATTGGAACAGGCTGCCCAGAGAGGTGGTGGAGTCCCCATCCCTGGAAGTGTTCAAAAAACGGGTAGATGTGGCACTTTGGGACATGGTTTAGTCTAGTCTACCCTTGATTGGATTAGAGTAGACTTGGTAGTGTAGGTTAATGGTTGGACTGGATGACCTTAAAGGTCTTTTCCAACCTAAACGATTCCATGATTCTATGATTCTAAGTATTTTGCGTGTACCAAATGCCAAAAACTCAAGTGCTAAACATTTAAAACATTGCTAAAACCACCCAAGTTATTAAAGTCTTTGGCATTAAAGGACCACATTATCAGTCACTTCTGTCTAAATAAATGCTCAATACCACAGACATTTTCTGTTCTGAAGGCACGTGACGCATCTGCAAAGCACGCTGTGTTTAGCATCCTCTCTGTCCCACAGCCTCTCTGGCACATCGTCCGGATCTTCAGCTGTAAAGATACAATCGTACAATGGTTTTGGAAAAAAGGTAACCAGGCAAATAGTCCTCGTCAGGAAACCACTGGCTGTTTTCATGCCTACCCGTGACAAGGAAGAGCTAGAAACCACCAGCCAAACTGCAAAATTAAAAAAGTACTAGCGGGCACTTTGGACAGAATTCGTGGGAAATACATAAAAGCAGTTTTCAAACCAAATTTCAAATCTGCATTAGTCATTTGTGGCGAGCTCTAAAGCAGCCAAAGATGTTGCAATTGAAGAGGAAACAAAGTTAACAAATGCTCCTCACCACAAATTTACACACTTGATTTTAACATAACAGTCTCTAGTTCTGTAACTTCAGGACTAGAGAAGGGTGGGCCTCGTGAGCTGCCAGTCTAAGTCCTCCTTCGCAGGACCATTTCTGGGCATTTTGTAATGAAAAGCTCCACAGAAAACATGTAGGTAACGCTGGCTAGCTCAGCCTTTGAAAACAAACACGCAAGTGAAGCTATTCTCCGCTCTCTCAGCGCCGAATGAAAGGAAAACACCAAACAAAACCGAAACACGTAAAGCCACGCGTTAACAAGATCAGCCTCGTTTCTCATTGTCTGATGTCGACCTTAATCAGGCTCCTGCAATATTTCCGGACGTGGAAGCGCGGCAGCAATCACACCCAGCACAAGCGCTGCACTGATACATTGAGGCATCTCCATTTTGCAGATAGAGAAGGAAACCATCCGCCTCGCCAGGACCAAAACTGCCAACAGAGGAGCTTTGGGGCGGGCAAATAAAGCGAACCCAGCCCGGGGACCTTTTGCTTTTGCCACACCGAGGCAGCAACCACCGCTGGCCGCTCCCCTTGCAACACGGGCGACCCGCTTTCCTGCTGCGAAAGGGAAGCGAGGGCTCGCTGCTGCCCGCTTCCCCCGCTATTTCGGCTGGCTTAAGAGGGGAGAATGGCAAAGGACACGGCTGTCACCTCCTGCCGCTCTCCTCCGCTCCGGTCCCCTCAAGGGAGAAAAGAGCGAGCCTCCTTTGATGGGCTTGTAGGGAGAGACGCAGAACCAGGCAGTGGTTTCTTTCTCTCCCGAAATATTTAAGCACAGCACAATCTTCCCGATCGAGCCAGTTTATAACACAAACCGTGTCTCTAGCGGGCATGAGAATTCAGAACATTTCGAATAAAACAAAACTGTGGTTTTGACCAAATTACTTCTCGCGAGTCTTACGCATTATTTGAAGAAGTACACTGACGTTACAGCCTCCGAGTTCAGGAGATCTCACACTCAATACGAATTCTGCATAAACATGGACTTCTGGTAAACCGCGCTGCTTTATGCTGGCTAAGGAGAAAAAAGAACTAGTAGAACAACAAAAAGGAGGTTTCAGTTGTAAGGTTTTTTTGCTGTACAAAAAGGAATGGAAATGCAGGTTAAATGGAGTTCACAGGAACCTAATCTTTAATTAATCTTTGAAATAAATGCCTGACCTCACACATACTTTACAGTTAAAACTCAACATTCCCGAAGGGAGCTTTGCTGCCTAATCCAACAAACTCCATCCCCCCCCCCCCTCCTCCCCCCCCCCCTTTTTTTTTTTAAACTAAATACAAAATCTTACTTAAGTTCATTCTCTCAAATCATTGAACAATTCCAAAAGGTCTCCTTAAAAAGACACGCCTTAAAAGAACCACGACGCAGCGTGTTGCGCTGGGCACCTGGCACAAGATAGTCTCCAGTAATAAAATATATTTAGCCAGTGGCAGTCTTGAACATTTACTATAGGAGACGAAGACTTGGCATCTCTGGTTTCTGTAACTCTGTGTGCTTTTATATGAAATGTATTTACATTGTACCGCACGGTTTCTAAAAAGCTGCAAAGCTGAAGCGTTCCGGGCTATCTTTAGAGGAGAGAGGTCTACCAAACCACAGCACCAACCACACAGCTGTGTTGAAAAAGCTCCCATCCCTCTTATTTTGGGGCTTTCTTAACTACGGACCTGCTCCTACCTGGCTGCTGAGCTCTCACCAGGATCTCGGTGAATTCAGGGTGTCCCTCTGCGCACAGCTGCTGGTGAAAAGGGACACATGGCCCGCACTTCGCTCAGCTTTGCCTACCCTGCAGGTAAATTTTAACACTCGCTTCAGACCAGTATTTGAAGGATATGACAGGAAAAAAGAAAAAAAATTGTTTTGTGTGCTGGGATAGCCCACAATCTATCCTTCCCCAAATTCCAAGTGAACAAAGTTTGGTGAGCCAATCCTTGCTCTAAAAAAATTTGCTTAAAGGCCCTGAAGGGTGGAGTATTGAAGTATAGAAGGAAAAAAAAAAAAAACCCCAAACAACAACCCCAAACATGTATTGCCACCTTCTACTTGAATATGAAGCTAAAAGTTAGTAGAAAAGAATTTTAACTTTCAAATTATGAGTTCATGGTAAAAGTGCAGACTAATTGAAATCAGAAACAAAAATAATGCGCAATACAGCCCGCTGAGAACCCTTTCACTGAGAAACTATGGGCCGCCCTACCTTCGGGCCACGGGAAAAACTGAATGAAAGATCTGACAGCAGAAGAGAAACTCCCAAAGGCTGATGAGACAATTATTGAGTAAAACAGAACCACCACACACATGCACACGCACACACTCTCTCCCTTATTTTATATGCATGCAGATAGCTGGTCTAGTTTTGAGTTTTGCTGCCTCTCATTTCCAGGACCCATTTGTTGGCCTATTTGATTGTGGTTAGAAGTCTTCTGCAGAGAATTCTGCAAGCTAGAGATTTTTACCACACGTTTAAGATGTACACGCTTTCTTGCTTGCATTTGCCTCCCTCTCACACATCATTTTTTCCCCCCTCATTTTCTTGCGTTTTCCGGAACAATCTCGTTGTTTTGACTATTCTCCTTCAATGCCCTCTATTGCCGTAAACATCCTTCCATGAACTTGACAGTACCAAGACTGCTGGCGCACAGAGCGGCACGCCACCGCGCACCCCATCGCCTTGTCGCTTCGCTCTCCCCGTATCCCCTGGGATCCCTGACTGTAATCTCTTAATATATGGTTTGACGACGCGCTCAGCCTACATTTTATCTGAAATAGGGCCTGGTTCGTAATCCTTCTACGGACACCAGAAATACAAAGACAACCTCTGTGTACGTTTTGGGTCAGAAATGCAGCCTGGTCTTCCATAAAGAGTAAATAGGCGGCTAAATTAGAACAAGGCAAAAGTAACAGGTTGTGTAAGACCAGGAACGCTGCCAGATCAGCAGGTCCTTAATGACAACCAGGACGGCTTTAGGAGAGAAGTCAGCAATCGACGGCACACAGGCAGATTTTTGAATAGAGCCTCGGCAGCGCTGGGATCTGCAGCAACTTCAGAAAGGTCCCTCCTTGCAGCTGCGGCAAAGACAGCACCTGGGCTGCCTGACCAGCACCAGGTCAGAAGCCTTCCCCGGCATCCCAGGCCTTTAAGCTGCATTTGGCAACTGTTTGGAGCACGAGGGCACAGCACCTCTACCCGGTGTGTTTAAGAGCAGGGTATCTCCTCCCGCCGCAAGCAAGGAAGTTTGCTGCTTTCTTGCTCTTGGTTCTGGCACTTCAATTGCTCACGTTTTTACCGAAGACACTCATGTGGAAACGCTTTCACAACTATTTATTTTGGCCAAAGTTGTAACGTATATCTTAGTAAGACACAAGGAAACAGAATTCTAAGGACTCTGGGAAAAAACCATTTAGCCAAGCTAGTCCATTTATTGAGCCTCTATCAGCTAGGTTTGGATTAACAGGGGGGGAAAAAAGAAAACACTGAGCAACATACAAAATAAATACTGAAAATAACATAAAGTTCCCTTCATACGGATAAAGTTTTCTGGGGACAAAGGTTAGAAAGGATAAAATATATTCCAGTTGGAAGAACGTGCCTCAGGTTTCTTAGAAAAATTTTCCTAAAGTGATTCTCTTAAAAGAAACAATTTTCATACAGCACTACATTTAGAAACTGAACCATATGCTGAAGGAAAAACCGGTAAGGGAGAAAAGGTTTATATTTACATACAGGACAAACAATACAAAGCATTAGCTGGACATTCACTTTACATTTAAAGTGTATACCATTAGTGTGGGTGAGCTACTGAACCGGAGAGCTCCGAGTTTCTCGTGAAGTTACGCGACCGCAGGCTCTAGGTGCCCGGCCGACCTGCTGACACCTTAGTTCTACCAATCAGTACGGAAGCTGTCTGACAGCAGTGGTTTGGACAGATATCATTTTAATAGTGCACATTTCCTTCAAGGCAAGTATTTATATGAACGGACAGAGTTTTGCTCTTAGCCTCTCCATTCTTGTTGGAAGAAGACCCACCATCTCCTTACTGAGTTCTAGTTCAGTTTCAACGGCACGGACAGCATCTGGGTACTTCTCACAATAGTCTACCAGAAATGTGTAATATTCCAATGATGTCTGCATGTTTTCCAGTTGCTTTTTGCTATCCGAAGTAATGAGCTTACCATACAGTCGTGCAATATGAAATTTAGCCACCATCGCAGGGCGAAGAACATCTTCCTCGAGCTGTTCAGGAAACACCTTATCTGGGTTCCTCAAAGAATCTAAGAAGAGTTCATAATATTTGATCGCTAACTGAGCCAGAGAATTAATTTTTTTAATTGTGTGGGAGTCTAGCTCCTCTAACCTGTTACCGATAGCTACCTTTAAATCCATCATCTCGTAATAGGTGTCGGCTAGTTCAAACTGAAGCTGCCTACTAATCAACAGATAGTACTGTGGATTCAAGTCTGCACATATAGGCTCCAGCATGTCTATTCTACGCTTGTGCATTTTGCAACGTCTCTCATAGTCTTCTTCAAAGAAAGCAAGTACCTTAAACAAAGCACTGTGATCCTGAACAATTTCAATATGGTCAGTAACGTAACCATCAACCTGAAAGAACTCTTTTGCTTCCTGAACATAGTTCTGACCAACTAGGAAGATTTCTCTGGCTTCTTGAAAATCTAAAGGATATACGCTGCTCACTTTCTCTTCCATGGCTAAGACAGAGTCACATATATCGCTCGTCCCAAAAAGGACAGCTTTTTTCCTGCCCTTCTCTTTTTCATCCTCCTCTTTCTTCCTTTGGGCTTTAAGTTCCAATTGCCTGTCTGGATCCAGTTCTCCTATGTTATCCTGAAATGACAAAGCATACTAATTAAAAATGCACGTGGCTTACCAAGAGTGCCTTACACTGAACCGTTTTATTTATGAGTTACCTTTGAAATACGAACTAGTTAGCAACAAGACAGAAGAGAAGACACCTTGGCATATTAGACCTTATATTTACAAAATACCATGTAAATTACAGTCTCAATTCTGTAAAAACATAAGACTAAGACAATTTAGTCTCCCCACCCTCTGCGACAATATAGCCAAAACAATAAATGTAAAGCCCAAAGGCCCTGCTTCTGCAAAGCATTTCAGCAAATGCTGTTTTAAACATTCCAATGAGCAACTAAATGAATGAAATGAACACCTGAATGAATCAAAGGCTTGAATGAATGAGAACACCAGCACACAAGACTGTTGTGTATTAAGATGTTCTTACTAGCAATTAAATAAGAAATGATCTGCCAAATCAAGCTGCAAGAAAATGCAGCAGAGAGAAGTTTGTGAAGCTGCTGTACAAGCAGTGCACTGATCACACTACAGAGCTGATCTCCTCTCTGTGCTTTTTTCTAAGTCCTGCATTAAAGTCCAAGCATACTATGAAACACCTGCTACACTGCAAGCATCTATTGTATTCTTCATTCAGCAATTGTTTATCATTTGCTACCAACTATGAATTGATTCCTGTTACAAACGTCAAAACAGCCTTTGTTTCTTTTTAATCAATGACAGCTACAGAACAGCTTTTCACTTACCTCAAGTAATTTCCGAGCGCTTTGCAGGAGATTCAGGCAATACTTAATCCAGCACCTTGCAATTTCAGCTTTTCTCTGTCGAAGGTCTTGTTGGTCTTGCTCCGTTTCATCTATTGAATGGACATAAACACATAAAAACCTTAAGAGAAGTGAAGCACTCCAGAGAGAACCTCAAATGTTACATGCAAATACGTTATTTGTATTTAATTAATTTTTCCTCATTTTTAGACAGAAAGATGTTCTCCGTGTTAGTTTCTGTAACAATTCTGTAAACTGTCATTTTGGTAGAAAACCATACAGATTAACGTGGATCTGTCATGCGTGAATTCTTCCCCAAAAATAGATCATAACCTATGTTTAAAAAGACCTTTGATCTTGGAGGTGTTTTACTGGAAAAGATTTTCATGTCTCTAACAAGAGACAGAAATCGGGACAATTTGTTTTCTGAGATTCAGGTGCCTGCCCAGTAATTGTTTCTGAGGATGACTAGGGCATTAGTATTGCAGTGGGCCCCAGGCTTGCTACCAAAAAAAGGGAACAAAAGTAGGGGAAACTGCCTTTGGGTAATCCACCTGGTACCAACATAAGATTTATTAGCTCTACAACTTCTGTATTTTTCTCCCCACAGTCTCCCCGCTGTTACAAGTAGCAGCACTGCTGATGTCTCAAGATAACGTTTTCAGATACCAGACTGATTTCAGAGAGAACTCATTTCCCAGTCTCTAGGCAGAAGGCAATGAGTCAGCTGAGCAACGGGGGGACGCTGGCATTCAAAGCCAACTTCAGACTCTGATCCACTGTGTTCATTCTCTTTCATTAGAGCAAATCAAGTTGTTCTTATTAAGGAAATAAGAACTGTTGCTAATCTAAGAAGGGGCACCTTTACTAAGTATCTCCATATTTGTTTATATTCCGATTAACATGATAAAATGAATGTGCTTGAGCGGCCAGTGCTGACTGTGTATTAAAGTTAGAACTTTCTGCATAATGATCTTCAAGTCCACAGCCCAGCTCTCTGTACCGTGAAAAGGAAGGGAAAATAGGACAAATGTTTACTCCATTGAAACAAACACAAATATCACTACTCCCCTTTGGTGTAGGAGGAAGTCAAGATAGAAGTAGTTAGTTGACTTGACCAAAAATTATGAAAGAAATCTATAAAGTACAACCAAAAATAGGACTCTTCCCTACCACTTCCAGTCTCACACCTGAATTTGAAACCATGACTGACTCTATGTTTCTATAACCTCATTTTTTGGCTTAAGTATTATATTAATGAACACTGACAACTGTGCAGTCAGGTAGCTATGGAAGCCCATAAACACTAATTCAGACCTACTGAATATTTCATAATATACTGTTTTCAAACAGCCTAACCAATTAGCATAACCTGACTCTCGACAGCCCTGTCTCCCTGAAACTAAAAGCCTTTGGACATCATCCTCAAAGTACTTAAATAGTAAGAAAGGCAACTCCACAGAGTGCTGTATTTTCTGAGCTAAGAGAAATACTAAAAGCAATGAAATTAATGTACTATCACTGAACTTCAATTAAGTAAGACTCAGTTGTGTCTATTCAGGTCATATTTTAACCTGAAATAACAACATCAAGTGGATTAAAGGATTTGTGTTCTAAACAGCTCAAACCATTAAAACTCAACCAATATATTCACTGTTCAAAGTCAGTTATGAACTCGCACAGGGGATACCCTGAGTACTTGCTCACTCTCTACGAGTTAAACCTCTATTGATCTGCAGCTTTCAGTTGCCTGAGACGCAGAATGTAAAAGGCTGTGCTGTAGATAAGCAAAGACTAAGCCTAAACCAGAGGATTTATGTTGCGTACTGACACTATCATGTAACCACAGGTCCTTAAAATTGCGGTCAATTCTCTAAAAGTTTCTTTTATTGATCTTTGCGCTGAACCAAAGTCATTCCTTTGCATCAATACCCAAAACAACAAGGAGGGGAGCTACAACTCCAAAAATAGCCATTAATGAGGCTGCAGCATCCAGCAACAAAAGACAATACAAGTAACGCCTGGATTTGGGGTTTTTAAGAGCTGCAGTTTCCCTCCCTCTTTTAAAACTATTCCCAGGAAGCCTCTGGTTTTGTTCATTGAATCACTGCCCTCTGATCACGGAGAAGCAAAGGCAGGCTGCATTTTAAGCACATGTACAAGGACAAACAGGTGAACAGAGATCTTGCCACTATTGAAATGGATATTGGTTTAAATTTCACTTTTATTCCGGTATGCTTTCTGAAACACCAGCAAGAAGCACTTGAGTCACAACACCACAGGGTTTACTCATAGCCCATCTTAAGCTGTAGTAGCAGCTCTTCAGAAACATTCCACTTGATTGTTAATTAAAAAGGTGTTAGAAAATTAACACTGCGAAAAGTTTTGTACACACTGCTAAACTTCTAACATCGTGTATCAATGATGCTTAATTCACAATATTTTATTGAAAACTTTTATGTGAACTTACTGTCTTCAGCAGATGGCACCTGTCCAGCTTGGCTAAAGATGACACTGGCCGCTGCTAAACAGTGTCGGGACTCCATAAAGCATTGCTGAGAGAAACAGAAAGAGCAGCGTTTATCACCGGTATAAGCAGCCCAAGCACTGCTCTCAGCTTGGCTACACCCCCCGCCTCAGACAGTAAAGATACATGAACACAAGGGTAATGACAGAACTGAGAGGCTCTGCAGCATATTCCCCTGGACACTGGAAGAAGAAACACAATTTTTCCACGTCTACTACTCAATACAGTATTTTCTAACCAACCATTTTCCTCTCTACCACAGCCACAATAGCAATCCTTGCTTTTAATACTACATACATACATTGTGAACATTTTCACTGTTCTGATCTATGCTACTATCATTTCCTTGCGGTAAAGGAAGTGATGTCTTGCGGTAAAGATTGTATCACGGGGTGTTAGTCAGAATGAGCTGGACGTACAAGTCAACATTATGAGTCAGGTCTAGATTCCTTTACTCCTATTTGACAATGCATTGTTTAATGATTAGTGCTATCAATGCATCAAAAAGACATGACACAAGTTATTACTGAAATTAGCATTAGCTGTCTTAGGTACGGCAGAAGTCTTTTAAGCATCAGGAAAGAGCATCTGAATAGTCTGGAATATAAAAATTCCTAAATAAAATTGAAGCATTTCCTAACGTAGTGGATTATTTAGAGCCAACGCAGATGTGCGGAAGCAAACAGCTACCATCTTACGCATTCGCTTTGACATTCACATAGGCTCAAGTCTTAAGCACATGCTAAAGTACAAAGGACAATAATTTATAGGAAATATACAACATGCAATACCCCAGTCCTAAGATGTTTTTGTTTTTAAACTCTGCATTGTAAGAGAACAATATGATTATAAGAAACAATTTAAAATTAAGAGATTACTTAAGTTTTACTTAGAAGCATCATGTCACATCACTGCTAAGACTTCATAAACTATAGAGCTTTTCTAATGTCTACACCCCTGCTCATTTTTCCTACTGCCATCACAACACCACAGGAAAGCGAAGCCACTATGTCCTCTTCAGAAAAAACTAACAGATGTTTCATGTCAGAAGACAACGTGGGCTTTTACAGGAGGACATTTTTAATTCAACGTGGTACCCTCTCTCAAACAGCTGTTTAAACAATCGTCTGTCTTCGACAGTTACATTTATGATGCAATTACAGCAGAAAAACATTTGGTATATTACCTTAGAGAGATAGTACTGTGACAAAGTAGCAGCATTGAGTGCCCATTCTACCGGGTAGTAGCCACAATACTCGAGCTGTCGTTTAAGAGTAGTATGGCAATACTGAGCAGCCTTCTCAATCATCTCCAGGTGTTGGTAGACTTGTGCCAGATAATACAGAGTATGTGTATAGGCTTTTTCAAACCTGGAAAAAATACCGGTCTCTTTAGATTTCTTTTTTTTTCCCCCTCCCTAAATACACCCTCATAAATTAAAAAAAATAACAATAATCTAAGTATGCTGTTACGCACCCACCTTTTGGATCGTTCTTGGTCTGTGAGTTTTTCTTCTTCTGCCATGAAATGTTCACTGGGATCCAGGGGAGGATTTCCATCCTGCAAGAGTACATGATGCATTCAGTAAACTACATTTCTCTTACTTTGTAACATAGTGCTCCCTCTTCTGGCTGCAGGCCATTTACCGTTTTTCACTCCCAAATTCAACAAAACTTCACATAACACGTCTACACCTATCTGAATGTCACGCACACGGTGCAATTCCACAAAACTCAAGAGATTTAGAGGAAGAAAGCCACAATTCCACATGGAATTACAAGGTTTTCAGCTTGTAGAAGACTTCTGCTTACGTGCTTTAAAGCAATGCATGCACCAGAACACTCAACCTGGATTCTACAAGACTGTAATTGGGTGTCTTTAGTTTATACAATAACATAATGGTTTTTAAAGCATCGATTTAATACTAAGCATGCCTTCAAGTGTGAAATATTCATTTGCCCAGCTGCACTAATCAGTAACAAGAAAACATCCTGCAGGAAGTAATGCAAAGAACATGATGTGCAGAGTCCTCGGCAGACCTGCTGTAAAAACTGCTCTTGCCACTGTGAAATGACTCCCTTTATTCACAAGCTGGCAAGACTGTTTACTCAAATATATGAACGAGAGACAGCAGGCAATGTCTTTGGAGGATGAAGCTGCTAAGCCTTGATATAAGACATGACCTACATGCAACTTATTAATGATGTGAACTACTTCGTTTAGAAGTTTGGGGGTTTTTTTAAACCATGAGTTCTGTCAGAATCCTTACACAGAGATAGATCTCATGACACATACAAAATAGTTTATTTTCCTTGATCAAGAATGGAAAGTAAGATACTGCTCTGCACACAGAAGTAACTCTGATTTTAAACTTATTTTTCTGCGTTCTGTGACATTAGTTTCCGAGATGAATGCATCGGCGACAGCTATACATCTTTCAGCAGCGCTCTGTTCAACCTTTCCTTAAAACAACTGTCAATTAATTACAGTCAGCATAACTGGCAAACCCAAGAGATGAACACTGCTTATGGCTAAGTTTTATTAGTTTGCGCTTATCTAATTTCCTTTGTAATTGTGAATAAGTTCAGATGCCAATTCTAACATACTTTAAATGAAGATGTCTGTCTTAAAGGTGGCTTTTGACCATCGCACAGTGCATCCTGAAGGATACTCAACATGTCTGCTAGTAACAGAGCCCAGTTTAGTATGCAATTTTCCTAGCCCTTTCCTAAAGCCATTAATATCGTAGCTCAAGAGAAAGTAAGGCAATAAATAAGCAGCAGTCCAGAGAAATACTTTTTTTCAGATAATAGGGACTCAAGCAGGGACAGGAGCAACAGTAGAGAATGCATTAACTTTAAAGGGAAGAAAACATAGTCTCATGTTCATATTTCTTCTCATTAGAATTTGTTTGTTTGCTTTTAATGGAATCTTTTTATTCAAAGATGAAAAAATGGGTCTGAAACAGTGACAAATAAAAGTATGTTTAACCTACCAGAGAGGTAAATTTTTTTTATATGACCTTTTAATCTTTAGGGTTTTCTGTTTATACCTCATTAGTTTTGAAGTTGTGAATTTATAACCCTCCATCTTGTTTTCTTTAGAGATACAAAGGCTTACCACCTTACAAAGGCTCATAAACCTTCCAACAAGATTTTCAGTGTAGTCTGGCAAGACTAGAGCTGATATTCCTGCAAAGAAAGCAACTGAAATGACACAGTAAGCTAGACCCTTGTCTCTTTCCTGTATCTATAGATTTATCATCTGATGTCAAGCCTTATGCCTGTAATCATCCTGAGGAAAAGCTCTGCAACGCTCCTCTTGCAGGCAGACTTCATTAGCCCAAGCTCTTGCCCCTAGAGTTTAGCACCCTCAGATTTTCACTGTACTGCATTAAACAAACAGCTTTCCTAATAGCAAGATATTATTACAATAAGTAATTATTTTCTGAAAATAATTTTAAAATAGATGTGAACTCAAAACATTCAGGAGCAGAAAGTAAAAGAATCTTTTAACTCCACCAAAATAAATTTTTTCTTGCAGTTGCCTTGGTGGTGCTCTAGTTGTATTGGGGGGGGGGGGGGGGGGGGGGGGCAGCCACGCCCACC